GATCTAGAGGGAACTAAGGCTTTGACTAGAAAATTCCCATAGACGGCGCCAAATTGTTTGACCAAAAAGTGTTAAGCCCTTTTAGTTAAACCAATTTAAAGAAAGGATAAGGAGTAAATCCTAGCCAAAGATAATTAACTCTAGATTAATGGAGGATAAATAAGAAGAGTTGAGTAAGATTAAGCTCATGACCTCATCAAGATAATGGAAAAAAAATTAATGTATATGATGAGCTTACATTTATTCTCGACATCGTTAATCCATAATGTAAAATAAAGAAGAAGGAAAGAAATCACCATTAATGATCACGGGGTATATCTTTATTTATTCCATTACGATGGCTACAGAAGATGAATAGCAAAGTGCTGAACCTTCTCTCGTCTTCGAGATGGATTCTCCTATTCCCATCCCCTGTTAGTGAAGTAGTCTGTGATTTGTGAGAATCCTCCCCCTTTCTTAGTTCTCTCACTTAGTATATATATTAAGTATTCTCATTTACACAACGGTCATTAGCCAGAGTACCTAAGTTATTTAACTGTATTACAGATTGACCCTCTGAAATGTTGTAACAACCAATTCATCGTACAAGCATTCTGAGTACACGACCTCAGTCGTGGCCGAGGTGCTTGTCGCTATAGCATTATACGAATACGACTTCGGCCCAAGTGACTTTTTGTCGTTCCTCTTCACGCAGATTCCTGTTTGGTCAGATTTCGACCCGTACAGATATGAGTCCACTTATAACCTATCTGGCCAAGCCTTTTTAGGGTCAAGATTGTTTTTTTCTTTTTCGAAGTGCTTTTTAAGGTGTTTGATAAATCTTTTAGAAGGGAACAGTAAACGTGTTTGAGAAGCAGGAAAATGTAACTTATCTCTAAAAGTACTTTCTAGAAAAATACACTTATAACCTGTTTGGCCAAGCTTCTTTTTGGCCAAAAGTATTTTTTTTAATCAAAAGTACTTTTTTTCAACATTAAGGTGTTTGGCCAAGCTTTTAAAAGGAAAAAAGTGCTTTTGAGTAGAATCAGTTTTTGAAAGTTAAAAAAGTAAGTATCTTCTAAAAAATACTTTTTTGAAACGCATTTTTGAGGAAAATACATTTAGAAACACTTTTTAGAAGTTTGTCCAAACACTAATTACTGCGCAAGAGTATTTTTCAAATTAATTAATCAAACACAAACTGCTTCTTACCAAAAGTATTTTTTTAAAAGCACTTCTGAGACAAATAATTTTCAAAATAAGCTACTTTTAGAAGCTTGGCCAGACAGACTAGAAGCACTTTCTTAAAAGTTTGGCAAAATAATTCCTGCTCAAAAGTGTTTTTCAAATTAAGTAGCCAAAAATAAATTGCTTCTCACCAAAATATTTTTTTTGAATTTTTTTAAAAAAACACACTTATCAAAATAAGCTGATTTTAAAAGCTTGACCAAACAAGCTATTAATTTTATTTCTCATGCTATGAATGTAGAAGAGTCATTTATCTTCATGTGGACCTTTTGATGTGCAACAAGGCAAGGAATACGTGACAAGACAAACGCCACGACTTGAAGAACAATTTTCTCATTTTCTCCACCCAAAAAACAAAAAAAGAAAAAAAAGAAACATCCACCGACATTCAAATGCATATTGCATTAACTTCTCAAACTTTTGGGTTAAAGGATTATAATAAGAAGAAGAAAAAAAAAAAAGAAGAAGAATAAAAGAAAGTTTCTATCATTTTCTGCCAGTGGATTGGTAGTTGGGCCTCCCTTCAGGAAAAGACAAGATTTTTGCTTGTAACAGCAGCCAATCGTCAACAACTTTATCCATCTTCTTATTTTTTTCATGGCTTTTTTTTTATGGAGCTCATAACACCTGCTCCAACTGGCAATTCCATCATCTCACTGATAAACCATTTCCTAAGCCTTTTCCTTCAACTATTACCATGTATGAAGATTCTAACGTCTTGGTTTCAACAGCCTTAGCAGAAGAGTTGATCACATAGCCAGAGCTTCATCTAAGGTGGGAGTTTTCTGCTCATGCAAATTGTAGAGAAGTTGAAAAGGGAAGGACAAGAATTACATGGAAGAGAGCTTAGGTTCAGTTAAAGCAGCCATTAATTTGTATAAAGGAAAGGTTCTTGAAGGAAATTCTGCACTGAACCAATCCTCAATTATGAAGTCTTTAGAGGTATTATGCTCTATATTTTCACATTCACCGGTCACCTATATTATATGAAGACTAAATATGCATCATTTGGGTATTTCTTTGTGAACTAACCTTAATCTTGCATACTCAATCAGAAACCATATCCAAGAACTAGCCAACTTCACATAGCAAGAAGGGACATGGGGCGACTCGGTGAGACCAGAAAAGTTGCAGAGGCAGAAAAAGCCCAAGCAGAATCTGAGCTTTTGGACGCAAAAAAGATGGTGAAAGAGCTAACTTCACAGATAGAAGAGTTAAATTCAAGACTAAATGTCAGAAATCAAGACTTGGAGAAACTAAAGACGGAAAAAAGAGGAGGAAATTGGGGGATGGCCATTAGCAACCCTCAGAATACTCAGAATTCCAAAGTAACAACAGAGTTGGGAAATGCAAAAGAACAACTGATTAAGCTTAAACAAGATATGGCTTCCATGTTAGAAGAAAAAAGAAGAGCAGAGCAAGAAATAGAAGCCTCTAGTTTGAAAATGCAATCTTTTTCAAGCAAAGTAGATGCATTAAGGAAGGAGGTTGAGGAACTTAATGAAGAGCTTGTGCTAGTTGAGTTGGCTCGAATAGAGGCCATTAAAGAATTCAGAGCAATTGAAGCTCAAAGAAGGGAAGACGCCGAGAAACATTCAGCAGCAATGGAGGAGAACAGGAAGAAAATGAATGACATGGTCCAAGAAATCCAGAGATCAGAAGAGCTACGAGAAAAGCTGACCTTGACAACTTCAGATGTCCAAGTTTTGGAAAATGAATTGAAGCAAGTTAAGGAAATGGACAGATGGATTCAGAAAAGCGAGAGCTTGATGATCCAATCTGATTTCCTGGAAAAAGACTTATCTTTGTTGCAGTCATTGAAAGAAGACTTGGAGACAGCAAAGCAGGAATTAGCTTCCATTAAAAGAGGCAGCTTTGAGTTTATGGCTTCAATGGACATCGTGAGGAATGAGCTCAGACGCATCTCTGAGGAATCAGCTCGGTTAAAGAAAAAAGGAAACAAAGCAGACTTGACGATTCAGAACCTGAACGCAAAGCTTCTGAGGGCAAAGGCTAAACTGGAAGCTGCATCAGACAATGAAGGAAAAGCAAGCTCTATTGCTTCAAGTTTATCCCTCACTCTTGAACAGTTGAGAAATGAAGCTGAAGAAGCTGAGAAAGAAAGGGTGACAGCATCTGAGGAAGCTGCAAAAGTCAAAGAAGAAATTCAGAAAACAGAATCTGAAACACTCTTGGCCGAGGAAAAATGGGAAGCTGCAATACAAGAGCTTGAAACCATCAAATTATCAGAAGCTACTGTCCTAAACAATTTAAAGAGGCTTGTTGAGATTACAGTGAAAAGTAGGGCATCAGCTTCAAAGGGCAGCTCAATAACTATTTCAAGATTTGAGTATGAGTACTTGACGGGGCGTGCAGCACAGGCAGTTGAAATTGCGCATAAAAAAGTAGCAGCAGCTCAGGCTTGGATAAAAGCTTTGCAAGCCAGTGAAAAGGAGATCTCAATGAAGACAGAGGTCATCAGAGAGGAAATCCAAGAGCTTAAAATGGAAGAAGAGCAAAATGGCCCGAAAATGGAGTATTCACCTTCTGCAAAGATACTGGTTGATATGCAGTTGCAGAAGTGGGAGGAGATAAACGAAACAAACCTGGAACAATCTCAGAACGGTTTACGTACAAAAGCCACTTCAATAAGTGGAAAAATGACACCAGCAAGACGAGTTAAGTTCAGAAAGTCAACATCTCCTGCACCTCGAACACCTAGAGCGGCTTCCTTCGCGGTTAGGAGAAGAAGAAAGGTAATGCCAAACATAGCTAAGTTATTTAATAGCAAGAGCAATGATGAGAACCTGTAAGCTATATTATTGCAGCAGCAAATACTTGCCAAAGTTTTCTGATGCATGAGATCATGTCCCACTAAATCCTTGTGCTGTTAGTCTCTGAATGTCTTCTCTGATGGATAGCTTGTTCGTCCTGATTTTGTTTTGTTAGAGCGATAATAAGAAGGATGCCCTCAAGGAAATTCAATTGAGAATACTCTTAGGGAATGTGCTCCAAGAGAGTGAGAAACTTCACAGTCTTCACATCGAAACCAACATCACCCAATTTTACTTGTTTTACTGTTGTTCCTATCATTTGGACAAAAATGCAAATTTTAGTTCAAATCCACCAAGGAAACTTGTTGTTATTAGCAGCAAAGTTCCTCAAAGCCAGCAGCTTGGTGCTCCATTCGCAACTTCTGAAACATTTCTTAAAAGATAAATTTTGCAAGTAAACAATCTTTCTTGACTCATACACGCATATATGCCCTCTTGTTCTCGTGATACACAGCACAGACAGTTATTTCAAAAGGAGGAATATATCACACAGAACTAAACCAAACCATGCTTCGTGTGCAATCACTTGCATCTTGTCCAAAAGATAAGACTTCGATAGCATGGTGCTCCCAAAAAACCCCAATAAGGAACAAAGAGAGAGACACAAGCTGGGGCTTGTAGATGAGGATTTAGTAGGGCTTTTGAAGAACAATCAGTTTTTAAGTTCTGAACTACAGAATAGTATCATTTGGTTTCGTGCTGAATCCAGTAAGTTACACAACTTGCAAAAAGGAATACACTAAGAAAGAACATCGAAATCAGCGCAACTACATTCTTGAGTAAGAGCACCACATTAAGGACCGCAAAGAAGTACGCTTAACACTCTCAGTATTCTTAGAGACATTAATCAGGTAACAACTCAATTATCAGATGACTATTCACTTAGCACGCAACAGCTGAGAGTCAAGAGTTACCCATTATCAAACAAAACACTGATGGTAAATAAAAACACTATTATTCATCAAATATATCATGACACATACAAACCAAAACTTTCAGTCCACCAATTTCTAAATTTCCTTCTTTTTTTTTTGTTCTTTCTTTTTTTTTTTTGGTTGGGATGCGCTCAGAGTATGGGAAATACTACCAAATATTATATAAAGAGACAAACAAATTGCACAAGAAAAACTTATGGTTTATGTGCCTCAAACAAGATGAAAGAATAAATTTTAAAAGTTGTGAACTATAAGAAAAGATGAACCACTATCAAAACTTTTGCTCTTCTTTTCACAGCCTCACTGAGGATGTGATGGTGCCTGGTTCATCACATTGTTACTGTGCAGCTGCATTGAAGACTCTGAAAGTAATACTGCCGCCCCCTTTGTAATGGTTTGGCACTGGGAAATGAACGAGGGTGGAGGAGGCTGAGACTTATATATCTGACTGTATGCAAGATCATCCTCAATCTCATTTGCTTCATTTGCAGCAGGAACTGATGCAGTTAAGATAGGTTGGGAACCAAGCTGTGGCTCAGGAGGGGCAGTATAGTGTTGCTGACTTTGACAAGGTGCACTAATGGGTGGTGTTGCTGCTGGGACTGTTGTATAAACTTTAGAACCCAACTCAGGTACTGATTGAGCCGTCATAACCTCCTTATAAACTATTGATGGAGGGCTCATGACACTTTGTGGATGCAAGGGGGGGCGATTGGGGCCAATCACTGCTGTATGATTAATGTTTGGCTGCACCGGCATACTCTGGGATTGCATTGGCTGCACTGGAACTAAGTATATTGGGTATTGTTGATTCATTGGATAAGGACTTTGTTGTGGCTGCTGCATGGGAAGCTGATAAAACGGATAACAGGATGATACTGGCAGTGGACCGCTAGGATAGTGTGGTACATAACAGGCACCACCATGAACATATTGCATGCCTTGTTGCGGCTGCTTCCCATCCAATGTCTGAGGTAATTGATAACCAGAAACCTGAACCATTTTTGGCGTCTGAATGAGAGAGGGATTTGCCATGGAGCCTTCTACTTCGATAAGACTATGTGAGGCCATACTGGACACAACTTGAACAAGTGGCTCTTGGTGAATCCCAACTTTTGGTTGAAAACTAGTACTTCCAACACTGTTATCACTGTGGAAATAAACCATAGATGAAGCCCATAAGTACAGATTAGAGGCGATAAGTATAACCGAAGGTAAGGAATAAGGATCCAGATCCAAATAAATCCATGCATCTTATACTCCGTGTAAGGTCCCAAGTGATCTAGCTTCCGAATTGAAGACTATTGCCTTCTTTTCTTTTCCTCTTTTCATTAGTGTATTCCCAGCAAGAAATCAATAAAAAAGCCAACACTGTCTTGAACAGATAGATTCAAAAGCTCAAGAGAACATTAGAAGGCCCTTAATTGGAGTAATAAAGAGGAAAAGACTAAGACTTATTAGAGTGAATAGATTGAACAAAAGCAATTCAGGGAAGTGCAGACTGTCAACTCATACGACTACAGTAACCACACAAGCAGCCTGACAGCCTAGATTACACGCCAAAGCAATCGTTTTTTTCTTTTTGGGAGTTATTTTCTTTCTATTTTTCTTTTTGGGAGAAGGGGGTGACTGGAAAGTGAAGAATATAAATCAATATGTTTTTCAGCACCTTATTATCTCTTATCTGGTACCATTGGCCCGACTAATCCGGATTTAGCCACATAGGGTATACTAGGAGAAAGCATTCCCCACTAGGAATTTCTCCATTCCCATGGCTTGAACCCGAGACTGACTAAGGGTGAAGTGATTCCATCCATCCCAACACATCTCTTCCATTTTCACCAGGCAAAGTAGAAGTCAACTGAAATGAAACTACTTGTACATCATAGGTATTGGGCGCAAAATTCAGCCCATCAGACCACTAGGTCAACCAAAGATCTAAACTTTTGTTAACCTAGATACTCTAAACGACTCCAATAGCATAACAAGATAACATCAAAAAGAAAAAAGAAAAAGAAAACAGTAATACCTCTCTAGTGAAGCTGATGAGGGCACTCTAACCCTTTTGTCCTGCAAATTGGCACCACCATCCTCGGATTGAACTCCAATAGCAGGCAAATTAGACATTGAAATGGAAGAACTGGTCGAACCAAAAGATGAGCTAGTCTCCAAAACCAAAGACTCAGGCACTGAACCACCCCCAAGCTCCAATCCTTGCTTGGCACTCAAATTTTCACCCTGACCCTCTGCAGAATTAGACCCACCCATATTTTCAAACCCGATAAGCTCATTCACAAAACCGGAATCAGTAGATTGGCCCCTTCTAGCAATCCGGGTATTATTCAAAGCATCGGAGAACCAAGAATCCGCTTTAGAATCAAGTAAAGCCGAGCCTAAGGATTCAGGCTTTACAGGAAAGAGAAATAACCTGATACGGGAAGATGTAACAGAGCCACAGGTGATCCTATCGTGTTCCTCAAGCATGTTCTGTAAGTCCTCATCGGTTGTGACAGAGATAAGAGAGTCAAGTTCCTCGTTAGGAAGCTGGTATTTGAGATAAAACGGACGGTTGCCGTAAAGGGAACGGGAAAGATGGGCAGTAAGGGCGGAAAGGGACGCGGCGGTGGTACGACGGTCAACGGAGACGACACGGTTGTCACCGCCGGCGTAGCAGAGGGATTTATCGTGGGGACGTTGAACTATATGCCCACCGTAGCTGCATAAAAGGCGGACCTTGGTGGTGGAAGTGGGAAGAGGTGGCAGGTCCAAGAGGGAATCCGTGGTGGTAGACGGCGGAGGTGGGTCCATTTAGGCGTAAATGGTGGCGGGGGATCTGGTATGTTTGGCAACAAAGCGTGAGAGAGGAAGAATGGGATTTTATTTTGGTGGCTTTAGAAGGAAACCTTTTTGCTTTTTTTCTTTCTTTTTTTCCCTTTTCGAAAGAGCAATGTAATCTTTAGATTTCTTCTGATAATAACGTTCAAACGCCTCATCAATCAAAATAAAAGATCTAAAGGAAAGGTGCTTCCCTCCAACTTTTTGTCCTAAACTTCAAGAAAAAAAATGCTGTAACAATGGAATATAAGCTCATTGGTACGAGGAATAAGGAATAATTAATCTCGGAATTAAATTTAAAATGAATTTATTTCGTATTTGGTTGGGATATAATTAATCCCATTATTATAGTATTTTTTATCTCTGGAAGGATATGATAACTAATTTCAAAACAATTAATTATTGAATAACTTATTTACCAACCGAAACGGCCCTTAATACCTAATTATAAAGTTCAAGCAGACTAAACTCCAAATAGAAAGCTAAATTTCAGTCAAATGTTAACATTTCGGGTCAGTTGACCGGTCAAAAGGGTAAGATAATATTTATTTGTTTCAGTTTATATGATGTTGGTTTTATTTGAAATAATTCAAAATAGTTGACAGTAATTTGTTGGTATATCATCTTATATAATTTTTTATAAATTAAAACATGGGAATATATAAATTTTATACTTCATTTGAAAGATATAACTAATTACAGTAGTTCCATGTCAAAGTAAATGATACTCCTAAGTCCGGTCACATAAATGAGACCAAGTAAGTAAGGAAAATAAATAATTAAGAGAAATTACTGTCAAACATGTAAAAGAAAAAGGAAAAAGGGGAAAGTGAGTAATGATGCAGTGAAATCTGAGTTGGCATGCGCATATGAAATAGCTGGCAAATTCATGTGTTGGGGTAATAAACAGAGTACGATGTCTAAAGATTCATCCTTGGAAAGAGTAGTAGCAAAAAAGAATTAATAATAAAATATTCAGTAGTTGAACTGATGAAACTACAAAAGACAGGGTGACATGGCTGAAGGCGGACGTAATTATAGGACCCGTTTGGCCATAAATTTTGTCAAAACAAATTTGAGATTTATTTTCAAAACTCATGTTTGGCCATAAATTTTGTTCATATTTTGGCCAAATCCCAAATCAAAAATTTCAAATTCCAAAATCAGCTATTGAGCTGAATTTGGGCCAAAATCCCAAAACTTGGGAATTATATACATGTTTTTTCAGAATAAAGTTGGAAAACATGTTTTGAAAACGTATGTCCAAACACATTTTCATCTTCAAACCAAACTTCACCCAAATCAGATTTTTCAAAATAAATTTGGGATCTATGGCCAAACGCTAACACAGTGACATGGTTTGCCTTTGACGCGCACATTGTTTTATGGGAACATGACCCACCTCCTACTCCTGCGCCCTCTTAAATACTCATTGCATAATTTTTTTTAAAACATTATTTTGTTACAAAAATACATTCCACACGCTTGGAAAAGGTTTTGAAAGGGCATCTTTGTTTTTATTTTATGTATTAAAAGTTATGATATTGTCATGTATATGAATAGTATTGAATATGGTGTATAACTAATAGGAAAACTTACACAAATGTCCCAAATAAATCTCAACTTACCAACCTCTAGTCATTAGTCATAGACTTACCAAAGAATCACATGCAAAAATCACCTTCCATATTTTTAAGTGTGATTAGCAACATTAGATACAAGACGGAAAAGAAATTTCATGGACGGGGTAGCAAATAAGGTGATGAAATACAAAAATCTATACAAATATTCCAAAAATCTAAACAAAAAAGGAAATTTTTCAATGGGTATAGTTGAAATTCATTGAAAATATATAGATAAGTCAATATACAAAATTTGAGAAAGATTGGAGGTGATTTGGAGTGGTCTTGTATCAAAATTCATAATTAAATCGAGTTCAAAAAAGTCTTCTGCGACACATGTATCAAACATGTATCACTATGTATCTCACACACAGGTATACATGGATATACATGTGATACACAATTGATACAAATATGATACATATGTGATCCACAAATGATACATAGTGTGATACAAATATCATTTTTTTTTCATGTTCAGCTTTTACTTCGAATTTTCAATTCAAACCACCTCAAAACTTCACCAAATCATCCCAAAACTGAGATTCAAGCTCCTTAAGTTGTGCCCAATCTATTCTAATAACACCCACTCAAAACAAAGCAAAGATTTGATATTTTTTTGTTACAAATAGCTAATTGGCTAATTTGGCTAATATTAGTAATATTTTATCAATGGCCAATTTTTGTAATGAGCTACCTATAAATGGACATAGCTGGTAATTTCCCTAAATAATATTGTATTTAGTTATACTATAGACTGAAAAATACTACTATATCAAACACGAAATTAATAATACCAAAGCTAATACATATATTATTTTCCTTAATAAACCCTACCAAACGACCCTAAAAATTTCAGCTTTTATAGTGAGATTTCCCAATTTGAATTCGAATTAAAAGAATCCTAAAGTGGATAACAAACACCAAGTAAAAAAATTACCACTACTCCCTCTATTTACTTCATGGAATAAACAAGTGCATGTTGATAAGTAGTATACGATTGTAATCAAGATAACAGAATTAATCTATATCTAGATCACCGTATTAGGTAATCTAACATGAAGTGATAGATGCAAATAGTATTGTAAGAGCAAATCCAACTCCTAATATAGATAGATTGGAACTTATCCTTCCACGTCTGATGTCTAATATTTGAACATGTCAATTTATTTAAATACAGCGATAGCATATAAATATGCCAAGAGGGATTTATGTAGAACCCTATTGTCTCAATCCGTTTGACGATCAGACTACTTAAAAGGGACTGATATTGCCAATTAATTGCTCATAATTATGAACTTTACTCAGTAGTATGATTTTTTTTTTTTTTAAATTTCCTTCACTTTTCCCCTTCTTACTAGGATGTCGTCCATGTATTCAAATGGTCATCTATGTTACTCCGAACTATTATAGGGATATCGACAACTTAAGTAATCCTTTGCAATAAAACATAAAATATTAAACAATGGGTTTCTCCAACTGATATTATGTTCATTCAAAATCATTTATGTTTTGTTTTTATTCAATTTCTCGCATCGTTAGTTAGTTAGGTAGTCAGCCTAGCCCTAACAATTAACAGATGGTCGTTAAGTCGTTAGTCTAACAGGCATGTCGAAGAAAGGAGCTGTAGTTTGGATTCCCTCCGGTCTAAAATAAGTAATTTTTTGACCTTTTTTTTTGTGGTCCAAAATAAGTGATTTTTTTAGATTTCAAGAATGAATTAATTATTTTTTTTCTGCATTGCCCTTGAAGTAAATAGTGTTGGAGACTGGAGTATGTGTTAGGAGTATTTATGTGAAGAGATAATAAATGTTAATATGATCAATTTCATTGCTAATTAATGTTAAAAGATGAATTTTTTAATCTATATGAAAACAGCTAAAAAATTACTTATTTTGAACCGGAAAAAACAGTACACTTCATTGTTCATAAAAATATGCATCTTTGACTCATCGATTGATGTGTCAATTCCTCGTCATGGGTGGGAGTGGGAGGGAGATCCAAAGTGAGTCTAGTTGTATAGTACTATAGTACTTTGACCCTTTCATTTTTAAGGTGATCAATTTTAATTGGACATTACCATTTGGCATATACCTTTATTATTTTAAATGCTGAATTTTAGCAGGTTTTCGGACATAACAACTGTAATATTTGGAAAAAAGTTAATATTTACAGTTAAGCAGAAAGATGATATTTGAAATTTGAAATTATATTTGAAAATGCATTTCACTTGAAAAAATATTGCAATTTTATGAGTAGGAAAAGAAAAATTTCCAAAAATTTTGAAAAAGTAATCAAAACTATTTTTTTTTGGTTTTTGAAAAACTCATTTTCAAAAAATCTCCAAAAACTTATAAATTTTCATGGACATACACGTTTTAAAAAAAACATATTCTATGAACAAATGGGTCCTTAGTATTTATTTTGCACGTGTTTAGGCAATATTTTGGTGAAACTACAAGGAAAAATTGAAGTTAATTGAAGAAAGTATCTTGAAAACTTGGATCATTTGTGTGAAAGTTAAAAAGTTACGAGTAAAAGTATGCTATTAACTTGAAATACTCCTCAGTATTTCAATATTTCACCTATATCTTATATATTGAAGTTCATATTTATAAATACTCGTGATCAACCAAACAAGTACTATCACTAAGAGTGCTCGAGAAATTCTGAAAAATCGAATCAAATATCAAAACAGCTCAAATCGATTTGATAAGGTGACATATTCGTCAATGTTATTATTTTGTATGAATTTGTAATAAATCAATAATATTCGATTTGTTATTAAGCAAAAATAGCATAGATTGGTAGGGATGATAGTTGACAGCAGGGCAACAATATTGTAACGCAACAAACGTGGCATTCAAGATTTTGGACAACGTAACAAATCAGCAAAACAAACACCTTACCAAAAAAAGCCCTTAACCCCGTTTGAAATGAAAGGAAAAATAAGAGAGCCACAGCGCGGCAGGACAACACCTGACCACCGACACTCGACAGACCCACCAGAGAAAAGGATCCCTTCTTTGATTCCAACCTGCTGGGTAAATAGGTCACATCACTGATTCTTTGCCATTGTTGTTCGTGCTAGTTCACATCATCAGTAGTTTTGTTCTGTCAAAAGTTTTAACATAAACTTTTCCATTTGTCTTTTGATTTTAACAGAGAGTCTCCATTGTCTTTTTATTTCTTTTTTGTATCTTTTCTGGGTTGACTTTGTTAGTGCTTGCTGACAACTGCTACTTCTTAATTTGTTCCAAATCAGCGTGGATAAGGGGTTTATTTATTACATATTGTGTGGACGTGTTTTTCTGCTTTTCCCATGTGGAATCTGGCTCTTACTGTCACTGTCGTGAATAGTGTCCTCTTATTTATTAATGTCTTGATTCACTATTATTTCCTTGATCAAGTGTTGTTTTTTCCTCTTCGAATTTTAATTTTCCCCCCTTGGTTGCTTTGGTTCCTCAATGCCGTCCTGGGATTTGAGATCTGTTTTCTTTTTCAAGAATTTCGGAGGCTTTTCGCAGTCTAAGGTCCGTCGGGATTATGTGCAACGCATATCTGCTTTTCCATTTTATTGTACATTTTTAAAAGCAACGGCGGCTGAGACGGATGTTAAGATTTAATGCTTTAGCCTTCGCAATGTTGATGACTTTAGTAAAATCTGTTCTTTCCCAGTTTTAGCTCTCTTTCTGATGTAATGTCATTTTTATACTTTCTTTCCAAATAAAGTGTGTTCTTTTTTATGGCTTGTTCTCCTGTGAAGACTGTACTGAATTAGTTCAGCACCTTAAGTTCTAAAAGTTATCCAGCCCTTGCAAAATTTATGATTGATGCAACTGCACTAACCACATAATATGTCAAGACCTTAGACCGCGAAAAAGCCTCTGACATTCTACATGTTGTATGATTAATGATGTTATTGATGTACTGCACCTCTAATTTGATTAATAGGCCACTTATTTCTAGATATTTATGGGTTGAGTTTAAGTCTTAGATAAGCATGTGACGTGTGACCATTGACTGTACTAGTTGCAACAGCTGAATGCTAGAATACTACTTATGATGTAATTGAGCTTTAGTTTTGTAACTCATGAGTAGAGGAGGATGTAACCTTCTGGTATTAGATTCATCTGAACCCAATACCTTTGATGCGGAGCATAAATTTATATTTAAAAATCCGCTACAATTGCAGCAAATAATAAATATGAACCCATAACTTTGAATGTATAATGAGTTCAATGCTAAAAACCTTAAAAACCGAACCCATAGAGCTTAAATCTTTGATACGCATCTGCTCATGAGACATGACAAATTTTAGTTCCAACTTAATTGACCATGGCAATTGATTGATTTATTTGCTTTCAATCAGAACGGATCAAGTCAAAAGCCAGAAGCTTCTGCTGGATTTTCTCAACTATTTCTGCCGCTGATAGCACCCAAGAAACACCAGGTATATATTTCTTACATTTGACGTACTAAGCTTAAAGGAGCTATGTTAAGGGGTTGGATGGAAATGAGTAGCTGGCACGAGTTATTCCATCCGTAACATATTGGATACAAGACTATAAGATGAAGGAAGGATATGGGATGAGTTGGTCCTGATTTTTGTGAACACTTGGGCAAGATATTTGCAAACGCAGAAGACTAGACAATGCTGTGACCTATCATGAGTCATGTACAGCTACTTGTAATCTGACAAAAAGAACTTTGGCTAATTTTTCCAAGATGCACTTGGAACTATACAAGTACCATAGTTTTATCGGAAGCATGTTATGTTCAAACTTCCATCTGTCTTTTAGGCCACAACTCATTTTAGATTGATCATGAGTCATGTATTTACTTTTTGGGCTTCCAATATACTTAAGTTTTTTTTAGGCATGTCATGCTTGCTTTGCCATTTTAGTCATTGTGTTAACCGCATAATTATTAAACCAATTTAGTAATAGTATCACTATTTCGGCTCTGCAATTCGGAAAATGAGAGTAGCTTATGTTTATAGATGCAGCTTATCACAAAATTAGACAAAGTTAGAAGTCATCGGTATCATATTATAAAAATACTTGAAGTTCTTACTTTTGCATGTTCTTAGCAGGCCAGAATGAGGGGTGCCCGGCTTGGGTCACATACTGTGAGGTCTCACGGTATGACGGTGGCAAGGACTCATTTGCATGACTGGCTGATCTTAATACTACTTTTGGCCATAGTTGTCATTCTGAATGCTATCCATCCGTTTTATCGGTTTGTTGGAAAAGACATGATGACAGACCTCAAGTATCCTCTAAAAAGTAACACTGTACCTATGTGGGCTGTGCCAGTGAGTTGATCTTCATTTTTCATTCAGTTGCTACAAAAATTACTTCATTTTTCATTTTCTTTTCCATTTCAAATAAACTACCTCATATTTGGATATCACAATCTCCAAATGTTATCAGGTGTATGCTGTTCTGTTGCCTATAGTTGTTTTTCTGCTAGTTTATTTTCGGCGAAATGATGTTTATGATCTTCATCATGCCATATTGGGTAAGCTATTCTTTGGATTTGGCTAGTTTTAGTGGTAATACTTTATATATGTTCTCGCTTATGTAAAAGCTTTCTGGTAGTCATCCTCTGATTATGTTGTGATGGCAGGGCTCTTGTTCTCTGTTCTGATAACAGCTGTTATCACAGACGCCATAAAAGATGCAGTTGGACGGCCTAGGCCAGACTTCTTCTGGCGCTGTTTCCCAGATGGAAAAGAAGTATGCTGCCTTGGTGGTTATATTTTCATACTTCTAGTTATAGACTAAGGCTCCTCCCTCGTAAATTAGTATTCTATCAGTAAATATTGATGGGTCAACAGGTTTACGATAAATGGGGAGATGTTGTATGCCATGGTGATAAAAATGTCGTCAAGGAAGGGCATAAGAGTTTTCCCAGTGGGCATACCTCCTGTAAGTAGAATGCTTGTCTCATTACATGTTCTCATGCGTTGTACGGGAAAAGATTGCATGTGCAGAGACAGAGACTTGAAATTTACAGCGCCTCAGAATGTGTCTTTGGTGTTTCTTTCTTGTTTTCTTGACCTTTGGGGATTTCGGATCAACTTGCAGGGTCCTTTGCTGGTCTTACCTTTCTGTCACTTTATTTATCTGGCAAGATACAAGTCTTTGACCGTAGAGGACATGTTGCAAAACTGTGTCTTGTGTTACTTCCGCTTCTGCTTGCATCTCTGGTTGCCATTTCTCGGGTGGATGACTATTGGCACCACTGGCAGGATGTGTTTGCTGGAGGTCTAATCGGTGCGTGTTGTTAGATTTTATTTGTTGTTTTTATCTTCACACTAAGACTGCATGAGACAATAATGAAATCTGAGGATATTTTCCTTTGCAGGTCTTGTAGTTGCAGCATTATGCTATTTGCAGTTTTTCCCACCTCCATATCATGTTCAAGGTGTGCTCTCATTCCTCCAGTGGTGTGAAATTTTTTCTGATAGAATATCAGAAGCTTTCTCTTTCATGGTAAACTTGTGCTGCGTATCACAGTAAAAAGTTGAAACCTTCACACTTCACAGTACTCTATTGAATTTTTATTCCGTGATTGATTCGGAGGAAGAATTGATGATTCTGAGTTGTTCTTACCACTTTTGCTTTTGTGTTACTTTAGTTGTAAACTCATTTGTACATATGCATATGACTATAGTTAGTTCATTCTCTCACGGGTAAGAGGTTAATTCTCTCATTCAATAGCTCTCTGCGACTTGAGGGATCATGTCCTATGGAAAATGTAATGATGATTGCCTCTTTTAAGCCTATGGTTGAAAAGAAAGTAAACCTATTCTCCAACATCCAAAGAACTGATAAACCTGTGAATCGTCTAAGGAATGCACTACTGCTAGACCATGGAAAATGCCTTGCTGTTCAGCCCAGCTACATTACAGAAGGCAGCTTCCTCCCTACAAATGAATGGATCTGTGAAACGGTTCTGGTTTATGTTTTCCGTAGAGGAACAGAATATGGCCATGGAGAGGATTTATGTACTATGAAGATGGTTTTAGTTTTCCCCCCTCATTTTTCTAGTCGTTTCTGATTGTCTGTCTATTTTGTGCTTCTAGGCTGGGCAACTTACGCTTACTTCCGTGTGCTGGAGGAGTCCCAAAGAACATCACAAGCTGAAAATGCTGTAAATGCCAATGTAAATAATACACAGAGTGCAGAGGTTCAAGTAGAAAGTCAACACAATGAGAGAAACCACCATGCGTGTATGGGCATTTCTTTATCCGGGGATTCTGGTCCAACCGTGGAAGATCTAGAATCTGGGAGAAGGTAGTTTAGCTTTAGGCAGTTTGAATTCCTCACACAAATGCTGTCCGAGTCAAGGTTATTTTGCAGAACTGACCTCTTGTGCAGAATATGCTCCATTGGATGGACTAGATTTCACTCTTGCCACTCTTATTGCAGGGCATATGCTTACACATATACTAGAATGTGAAGAATTGTCTCTTTTTTCTTATTGTTCGATTGATTGTTGTACCATTCCAGTTAGTAGTACAGAATTAGTAGATCGGGAGATACATGAAACTGCTACCTGCAACTTTTGATAGCAATTTGGGAAAGTATGTGTACAGCGCGAAAATGTGCCAACTGATGTTTGTAACAAAGGCGAATACACTTACTTTGAGTGTTTGTGCCAATGTTCTCTTCTGCAGGTGAAAATTTACGCATAATGATAGGTGACAGTTTGCTAAGGATCATACTTTCAATTTTTCTGCTGCTGAAAGTGGAGGATTTATTGATATAGACAATGCGAGGGTGCGCGAATTAAATGTAGAATTCTCACTTGGCTCAAGGATGGCTAGTGGTTCTCTCTTTATTTGAACAAACGTTTTTGATTGAATAGAAAAGAGGGAATATGAGCTTCTTCTTTTTTTTCTAAAAAAGTTCTCTGACTTATTTGAATCAATTAAAAAAGGGAGGAATGAGTCGAGATCAGTTAAGAAATTTCTTTCTCTTTTCGTTGCTGTTTCCTGCCGAATGTAAAATGTAGATGCATGGCAAGTAAGAATGTTAATGTAAACATTAGATGTCAGCTCACTTTAGTGTCTTTTTTCGTGGTCAACTCAAATTTGGTTCATGTCTCGCCCATTTACAACCAAACCTCTCAACACTAATGAAGTTGAAATCTCAACTTTTCTATACAAAATTGCCATTATCAATTTGTACAATCACATGAACTTGTTTAAATACTTCCAAAATAGAATTCCAGGAGCTGCTAATAGCACTTGTACAATTACTAATGGAGTTAAAATGCAAATGAGAGAACACAAAACAAAAGCTACTGGAGATAGCAATTCTACAGAGGTACAAACCAAAAAATAGCACAACAAGAAAAGAAAAGAAAATCAGATTCGAATTACAAGGGGCTTTCTGGAACTGCTTTAATCTTCGAAAAATCGAGACTTAAATTCTTCCCACGAATAAGCAACACCAATCCCCTGCCCATACCCGAAACCTATACCAACACCACAACCCATTCCCACACCGAAAACCGTCTTGAGATGGTTCCATTCTGAACCACCGAAACCTAAACCTCCGACTACTCCTAGTCCCACTCCGATGCCGCAACCAATACCTAAGCCGCCGCCTGGACCTAACGTTGCTTCTTCTATTTTCCGGCTGTTTTCCTGGATGAATTCTGTTACCGATAGTCGCTTGTCTTCACGTTTTCCCCTTTTCCCGTTGAAATTAATGCCCTTCAACTTCCACAGGGAAGTGTCCTCCGCTTTCCGATAAGCAAAACCATTGAGGCGAAGGGTGTTGTCTTGCATTCTTTTTCAAGGATAGGAATCAATTCACTTCACTGAAACTGGGTTGGCTTTGACCTAGGGCTAAAGTTTATGTGCTTTTTTTTAAGGGGTCCAAGAGGAGGTTGACCAAGGAAATGAGGATAAGGGAAAAAGAAATGGTGCAACCAACTAACTGTCAAAATATATATGATATTACACCAAATTAATGAACGAAGATAAGTATTTTTTATGCACATTATTATTATCACTTTATATTAAGTGATATACAACGTAATTGGGGGGGGGGGGGGG